AAATTATCAAAATTATCAAAAAAAAAAAAAAAAAAAAAAAATTATGAAAATTTAGATTTTATGCTGATGAGACGGACGGGTTCTCTTTGTTAATACATTTCTTTGTTCCGGATCACGTGGTTGATTTTTTGTTTAATTAGTGACAAAATAAAAGGAACAGTAACACGTTTGCAATCTCATGGCTTTATGCAGTTTGCGTTCTGCTGTGTTGTGTACCCATGTCTGGTGCTTCAGTATATGGGTCAAGCTGCGTTTTTATCAAAGAATTTTTCTGCTCTACCCACTAGCTTCTATGCCTCCATCCCAGGTAAGCATTTAAGTTTCGTTTGGTGTTACTTGTTATGGCTTTTTTGTTTGGCTCTGAAGTGTGTATGCAAAGTTTTTCTCATTAGGTTCTTTTGGCATAATGTGGCTTTTTATATGCCTCATTTTGACCTTGTGTTACATGCATGTTATATCATCTTAAAAAAAAAAAAATGTTATATCATCTTGTCTTTATGCTTTTAACCTCTTGACATCCAGATCCATTTTTCTGGCCGGTTCTAATGATGGCTATGCTGGCTGCAATGGTTGCGAGCCAAGCAGTCATATTTGCGACTTTCTCAATTGTCAAACAATGCTATGCATTGGGATGCTTCCCTCGTGTGAAGATTGTTCATAAACCAATATGGGTTCTAGGTCAAATCTACATTCCCGAGATCAACTGGCTCCTCATGGTCCTCACCCTCGCTGTTACCATTGGTTTCCGTGACACTAGACACATAGCTTTCGCTTTTGGTACGTAAACTCCGTTCAAACTCAAAAGAATATTTATTTCATAAAGAACATAACTAGAGTTTCTGCAAGTTTAAATTCTCTTGTCTTACTGATTTTCATCAGGACTTGCTTGCATGAGTCTGGCGTTTGTGACGACTTGGCTGATGCCTCTAATCATAAACTTTGTTTGGAATCGGCATCTTGTCTTCTCCATTCTCTTCATCTTTTTATTCGGGACCATCGAACTCGTCTTTTTAGCATCCTCTTGGACCAAGATCCCACACGGCGGATGGATCACTATCCTCCTATCTCTACTCTTCATCTTCACCACATATGTTTGGCACTATGGAAACCGAAGAAAGTACCTATACGACCAACACAACAAAGTCCCCATGAATACAATCCTCACCCGTGGCCCGAGCCTCGGGATCGTCAAAGTCCCTGGGATCGGTCTAATCTATACCGAACTAGCAAGCGGTGTCCCAGCCACATTCACTCACTTCCTCACCAACTTACCAGCGTTCTACCAAGTGGTTGTCTTCATCTGCTCCAAAACCGTCCCTATCCCTTACATACCGCAGAAAGAACGATACCTTATAGGCCGTGTCGGTCCCAAAACGTACAGGATGTACCGTTGCATAATCCGAACTGGATACAAAGACGTGAACAAAGATGGAGACGATTTCGAAGACGAGCTCGTCGATAGCATCGCCGAGTTTATCCAGCTGGAATCCGAAGGCTCGGGATCACATGCCGACCGTTCTGTTGATGGTCGGCTTGCAGTTGTGAAAACCTCAAACAAGTTCGGAACAAGGTTGTCTCGGTCAAGATCCGAGGTTTACGTAGCCGGAAGCAGTAGCAGCTCGAGCTCGAGGTCTCAAACGACGGTGACTAATAGCAAATCTCCGGTGCTGAAGAGATTAAAAGCGGAATACGAACAAGAGCTTCCGAAGCTGAGTATGAGGAGGAGATTTCAGTTCAGACCGATGGATACAACGTTCAGACAACCGCAAGTGAAGGAAGAGTTGTTTGATTTGGTTGAGGCTAAAGATGCTGAAGTGGCTTATATAGTTGGGCATGGTCACGTGAAGGCGAAACGGAACTCGACATATGGGAAACAGTTGGTGATAGATGTGGCTTACTCGTTCTTGAGGAAGAACTGTCGTAGCCCTGCCGTGATGTTGAACATTCCTCATATTTGTTTGATTAAAGTAGGTATGAATTATTATTTGTAGGGTACTGAGAGAGAGTGTGAGACATGGAAAGAGTTGATTTTAGTTTCTGTTTTCATTTTTTTTTTGTTGGGGTTTTTCCCTTTTGATTTTCAGTTTTTGGTTTTGTTTTTTTATTTAGATTTAGTTTTTGATTTTTCTGTATTTTTAGTTTTTCAAAAAATAATCAATACATTGTATTAACATAATAATAAAAAGCAATGAAATCCTTATAAGTTACCATTAAACTTTATAAAAATAGAGTGATTGTTATTTACAATAAAAATACATTAACATGTTTTTAATTATTTTATTTTTAATTTTATACTAACACATATATAATAAAATATCTAGAAATTATAAAAAAATCGTAATATTTAAAAGTTTGAAACTATTTATAGATTTTCTTATATGTTTTTTTAACCTGAAGGGCTATTTTAAAATTAATATTATATATTTTAGTATGTCAAATAATTATTACAATTATTTAATGAATTTTAATAGAAATTCATAACTTATTTTTTTATAAAAATTAATAACTAATTGTTGACAGTTAATTAATGTTATATAAGAATATCCAATTTACTGACATATATGAAACAAAAATAAATTATTTTATATCAAGGTTTAGATGATATATTATCTACAAAAATTTATATAGGTAATTTATCTTTATGAACCTATTATTTATCTAATTAAAATATAGATTTTCTATAAAAAAAAATCGTTTTTGGTAGTAAGAATCCACAAAAGTTGGTTTTGACTTTTCTTCACAAATTGGCTAAAATTTTGAAATCTCGATTTCCTAAATTTTAGAGAATTTATTAGTTTAAAATTTTGATTGGCAAGAAAAATGGTTTTTACAAAACTTAAAACTAAAAAAAAAAACTTAATTGGAAGAAATTTGGTTTTTAGAAAAACTAAAACAAAAACTACAAACAATAAACTTCTTTTGTCAACATATATTATATTGAATTTTTTAATAGATAAGTTTTTTTTTTTTTTTTTTAAATTATGTTGGAGGTTTTAGGGTAAAATGCAGAGGAATGGATCAAAGGTAGTATTTTATAGACCAACAAAGTAAGAGTACGACGTATTTGGTTTGTAAACTCTAGTTCTAGATGTTTGTTTGATACTCAAATTAGAGTGAATTAATAGTAGATCCCCCTCTTCTAAGATTTATAAATCTGTTTTATAGGTCATTATCATTAGAGTCAAAATGTAGGTTACATCTTTTTATATCTTGAAATACGAAAATATTCCATTTTAGTAGAATTTTTACATATTATCCGGAAAGCACTGGAAAACATGACCAGAAAATCAGAGGATGTAGGAGCAAGAAACTGCAGTGCCGTGCGAACCTTAAGAACCACCATAAGCGATTAAAAATAAAATGTATACATTTAATAACAAAATGTTACAATAACTAATACATATAGTAGAAAGAAATAAAACTAATCAACTAAACAAAAAATTAGTTTTTATTTTCCCAAAAAAATATTAAGTAAACTTTAAAATATTTTTTTTTGTTTATGACTGTATTTTTCACTCCCTTTTGCAGTGAGATCGGAGATTCTTTAAACCAATGCTTCAAACTTTTACATTGAGGCACAGCTCTGGAAAAAGGTCGACGTCATGCATTAAGCAACTTGCTTCATGAATTAATTATTTCCAATAATTTGCTGTTATCTTTGAATTCATGTTTGAACTCGAACATTTGTTTTCGGTTGACTGGAAACATACTTTCAAAGCAAGTTTGCGGGTGGTAGGAACAGCAGCACGTCGCTCTTTTTTATATGACATTTTAAAAAGGTGTTAGTCAGAAACACTTGTCCCTGTAAAAGATATCTAGAATTTGATCCGGATGTTTGATTTAACTTGTGTTCAGCGTAAATTCATAAATCGTTGGTTTCATAAAAAATCTCATGTATATTTTTATGTTTTTTATTTTACATATAAAGTAGAATATACTATTTTATAATATAGATGTTCGATTAATGATTTGTTAATATGTATATAATATTATATTAAAAATTTATAATTTGATACGATTTGATGTAAGTGTACTATTCATATATTAGCTTGTTGTTTTTCTGTCAATTTATTTTGAAATGAAATAGTATACTAAAATTTTAAATTTTTGAATTAGTTATCTATGAATTATTCTTAATTTTATGATATTTTTTTTAAAAAAAATAAACTTTCAAAATTTTATATTTGACTAAACTAAATAAAGTAATACTATATTTAAAAATTGTTTTATATAATATATCTTTTTTTATAAAGTAGAATTTATTCCTTTTAGAACTCTCCACGTCATTATTTCAAGTACATGACATATGTCTACAATTTCCACAACGATGTGTTTTTTTTATTTCTGCCCCCACATGTCTCGGACTTCAGATATCTATATTTTGAGCCTTATGAGATTCTAATGTTCCTAGTCTGCTAACCCACGAAGATCATCTTCTAAACCTGCAGACGTAACAAATTAGGGTTCCTCTGACTCTTTTTTGTCAGCCATCTTTGATTCTGATTTTGTTAAACCGACTGACGTTTCAGTTTGCCTCAAGATCTCACACCTTCCTTTCGGTTTCTTTCTGTAATCATGTTCTTAATTCTTTTGTACACGATCTTTGCATCAATACGACGTTATCTTCTCAAAGGTGATGTGAGTACGGGTATGAAAAGATATACTTTTTCCTGTAAAAACCATCTTCGTATCTATCTTTCCATACCTACTCTCTCTTAAATGGCTAGCTCAAAAGTTTTTTCCGATTTGAAGTTTGGAAGGTTTCCACTGTTGAGTTTAGGTTGCTTCGTTCTGGGAGGCTAGGAATTGAAGCATGGTGAAGAAATCATGTGGATAGATATGCTGATGGTGGATGTTAATGTAAGCAATCTGATATTCAAAACTTTTGAAATCGTTAAGCTAGAAAACGCCGGCAAGTTTTTGTTCTCTGTCTTAATACTGAAGATGATTATTGAAATGGAAGCGGAATCAAATGTCAATGATTGTGACATATGATGTTGTTGGTGTGAGATATTTAGGAATAAAGGCTAAACTGATTTTTGAGCATCACAGCCATATTCTGGAGAAGCAAACATTCCTTTGTTTGGTTCTTGTGTGATCAAACCTTTGGTATTATTGCTTTGTGTTAGTTGCTAACGTACTTCTAGAATGTTGAGAGATTGAAGTCTAGACTCAGAGAGATTTTAGCTCGAGATTAGGTTATATCCTAATAAACAAAAATCTAGATTTTAGGATGAGTTTTAGCTTAGGATTGGGTTACCCTAAAGAAATTTTGTAATAGAAAAATTTGGATGTAAACACATTCTTGTTCTAGTGAATTCAAAAAGAGAACTTATGTATTTTACTTTCTGCCCTATATTGTCGGGTCTCATCTGCACTTAAATGTTCTGAATAATGTTCATAACTACCCAACTTATGAAAATAAACAAATTTCTGTTTCCTATCAACTTATAATATAAAGATAGGGATACTATAATTTGATTCCGTCCACATGGTTATCCTTATGTTGGTTGATTTTACGAATTTTCTGAAACATCCTTTAACAAAACTTGTACATCCTCTTGTAAAATGCTTTGCAATTCTTGGTTGTCTTGTGGTTTCACCTCGATTACTCTGTCTCTTGCCTTCGCTGCCTAAAATCCAAAATCAAAACAAGGTTCTAAATTCTAGCAATAGCAAGAAGAGAGGTCATATGAGTAATAAGAATAAAATAAAAGCAAACGTTACCTCTTGTTCCCAACTTGTGAAGAAAGTGACAAGCGCAAGGACTATTGTTTGTAGAGTAGAGCCTATTAATACACCGATCCAGAGTCCCTTCCCTCTTAATTTCACAACGAAACACAAGAACGAACCCAACGGGATCCCGGCCAGATAATACGAACCTATATTTGCATAAGCTCCTATATGTTGCCATCCTGTTCCTCTGGCAACCCCTGAAGAATCAGTAACTCTAGGTTATCTTACAAAATACACAAGCTTTCTTGGGCGTCAACTAGCAATAGTACTAACTCTTTAGGAGCTTCTCATTCAGCAATGCTTTGATGTGTACCTTATAATGTATACAATCTTTTGATTTGATATAAATTGACTACCTGAGAGCACGGCTAGAAAGCTGTCCACACCAATGGATAAGCATAAAATGGGTGTGATTTGAGTTGCATAATGAGCCACTTCACTTTCGTTGCTGAATATATAAGCCCAATTTCCTCGGTAGGTGTAGAGGGTGATACTAACTATGGTTGCATCAATAGCACCCAGGAAAAGCGCAGATATAGCTGCGGCTCGAGCTTCCTTTGGATTTCCAGCTCCTAGCTCGTTTGAGACGTGTGTGCTTATTAAAAAAAAAGAAGAAAAAAGCAATGGTTCAGTGAATATCTAAAAATAGATTATTTTGATCAACTGGAAATAATTTAAACCTTGCAGATGCTCCTATAGCATTCACCAGAACGTAATGCAGAGACGACATTGTTAGGCTGTTTAAGGATAAAGATTAAAAGCTTATTCGAAACGAAAGGGGTTTATGTAAAGAATTTGTAGAAAGTGTTATATACACATATGCGCAATACCAAATGGATAGCACGGATGTTTCGAGCTTTGAGTTAGGTAAGAGTCCAGACAGTAGTACAAGAAGCTCAAAAGACCACCATTCCAAGCTTTAATTACACATAAAAATAAAGAAGATCAAATTCAAGAAGCTTTAAAGTTTTTTTCTTGATAAAGTTGTAGATGGTTTGGTTACCAAGTCATCATGGCAGAAGGAATCGCTAGGGCAATGAACTGCTTCATGCACAAGAAGATTTCTTGAGCTCTTAGATTCTTCGTTTGGCGATGCAGAGAAGAATTCCGCATGAAAACCCAAAGCAAACCTACGTTCATCCAATACGAAAGACCAATGGACAGAGCAGCGCCAACGATTCCAAATCTCAGTTTATAGACAAGAAGCCAGCAAAAGGGAATGTGAAAACAGAGAGCTACAAAAGAGCTCAAGAAG